AATAATCTTAAATATCCTAAAAAAATTACACAAATTAAATTTAGTTGTAATTACTAAAAGCATTTAAAACTTAATTGTGAATACTCGTAACAAAGTAAATAAAAAGTGTAAAGTAAAAGAATATGAAAGAATATTGTCACCTTTGACTATTGACAAAACTAGTAAACATAAATAAAGTAAAAAAATTAAAGAAAAAAAAAGAAAAAGATATGCGAAGCTGCATTAGATTTCAGAAGCTGCAGATACATTTATTAGGCGAAGGTTGACGCAATTTGCAATGGGTAGATCTTGCGGACAAATTGACATTCCACAGTTATCATTGGTGCTTTGACTGGTTTATCAAAATTCGATCTACCAAACGAGAAATCATACCATCATTGGAAGCACAGACAAGTAATTTACCTCTGGCTAGTATTGTTTTTTATTTTTCAGCAATTTTCTTCTATTTGACATTGCTTACCCATTCTAACATGACTTGTATGAGTACGACCTTATAGTTGAGTATAATTAGACTGGTCTTTTCATTTTTGTTACTCAAACTTTGTATGTCTCATATATTTTTTATTCTATGGAGTAGAATCCCTTTCGTATTATGCAATAATTTAACCCAACTGAAAGTTTTGAAGGGTCTTATAAGTATTATCTTGAACTGATTAAAACGTAGTGTTTTAAAGATATTTGGTTTATGAGAAGGCTAGGAAATATCCCAGTAAACTGAATAAATTCAATATTGCGTATTCTACTTTTATGCATTGATTGCATGAGCCATGAGACATCTGTTGTTTGAAATCCAAGTCTCCTTATGATTTATACTTTTAGCTTTAATTTATATTGTAGGCAAATCTTCTGGAAGAGCTAGTTTATTCTCATAAAAAGACGACCGAAAAACAGATGATCAAGGCTGCACTTGCTAAAAGCAGAAACCCAGAGGTATTTGAAGAACTTTATTGTTTACTTGCAGAAATGGGAGTTACCCCTTGAACAATTTCTCTTCTTTATGGATAGGAATGGGATGTTAAGATGTCTCCTTCTGATAGAAATGATGTTCTTTTAAGTATTCGACAAGTTGCTCTGGCATTTCATCTAAGCCCGGACAATTTATGTTGGAGGGAGAAACGTACTATTGGACTGCTGCTTATCATTTGAACATGAGAGTCTATGAGAAGCTACTCTTTGGTCTAAATTGTAGTTTCCTTTTAAGTTTGAATGTACGGATGATATCTATATTTGCACATAATAGTATCTGAAATATGTCTCAGGAAGCAGAAGAAACCTTGAAGTTGTTGAAGATGACATGGTCAGTGCTGGGCATGACAGAGAGACTCCATCATGCATTATTTGCCTGGGTGCTCTTCCAACAGGTATAAATTATTGAATTTATGTTTATCTTAGTAGTGATTGACCGGCCCTTTCACTCGTGTGCCAATTATTCCTGGTTACCTGAGTATTTCGAAATACTAGGTCTCAGAAACATGCTAATTTCTGAAACTGTTCCAGAAAAGTGTGGTGTTCCAGTCAAATTTATGTTATTTTTATATGTTCTACAAGACTATTCTGATGTAACTCCATGATTAAGAGCATAGAGAAATTTGGGATGGAATAATCTTGAAATGGGCAATAAGAGCATAGCATTCTCCAGTAAGTGCCCGCGTGAAAGAAAAATAAATTGAGACAATTCCACCTCATATGACGCTTTTCTGTATATAATTTAAAATATATATTATGTTTCCTGCTTCAATACAAAGCAAATATTTAGGTGAAAAGTTCACAAGATGAATTGGTTTAACGGGGCGTTGGATCCCTCATGGACGCTTCACTAATATATCATCAAAATGCTAAGCGACCGAAGAGGCAGTATTGGCCTATGCAGTTCATGAAGTCGAGAAGGTTTTGTCTGGTGAAGGTCATGATGACAAAGAAATGGCTTACATGAACAGCTTGACATGTTCCACTAGGGGCAATGCAAATAGATTGAATTTGCTTCAATCTATTTTTTTGTCAACTAGCACATGGTGCGACAGTAAATTGCTGGACTATCTACACATTTTAGTCAGGTTTTCTCTTTTTTATACCTTGGCATGACTATCTACACATTTTCTGGTCTCTTTTGTTTGGGTGACTTGTAGATTATTCCACTTTGAAATACTGTCTGAACGTGATCTTCAATTTTCAGAAACCGTCGTTCTTCGAGAAAGTGTTGACAATTGGTTTGTCTACTGGGATAAAAGGTTTTGTTCCTCTTGGAAATATCCAGGTAACAAAACATTCACATTAATCACTTTCAATTTTTTCTCTGGTTTAATTAGAAAAGGATCTATTAAGACATCATCCCATACTGGCATCAATCATCTTTGTTTCTTGGTGGATTAGATTTTGCGGGCATTCATATTATTTCATTCACTTGAAACATTATATTTTCAATTTACTAACATTCTGGTAGGTTGAGTCTGAATTTTTTCCAATATGTTGGTCACTTGAAATTCTGCAGTTTTCTGTCTGACTATTACAAAAATATTTTTGTTTTTCTATTTCATTTTGTCCTCCTGGGCTGGCAGTTTACAGGATCTTGCCATCCTAATGACGCCGCTGCTAGAAAGATCAGATTGTATGTAGAGAAAACTATGGATGCTGCATGCAATAGGGTGAGCCAGCAGTGTAAAATTAGAAACGATAAACTCCGGTGATTCTTACTGATGACAATGTAGATATATTATACTTTTCAGGCCACTATCCACTGGCTGTACTTGCTAGTGAACTAAGATTATTTGCTGAGAAAGACCTCTTTGTATTTAGCCCAATTCTTCGACGTTGGAATCCTGATTGTACTATGGTCTCAGCCAAAATATTGCACCAATTTTATGGTAAAAGATTGGTGTGACTTCTCGGAACATCTGTTGTTGTTTCTACAGACTTGCAAGAACAATTGATCAGTTATTTTTTAATTCAGTTCTTTCTTTCTTTCTTTCTTGTTTTAGACACCATTTATCAATGATATCACATGCCTCACAGAGGGTGTCAGAGAAGTGCTTCCTGCAGCTTATGCATTGGAAAACTGGCTAATTAAACTTTATTCATCATCTTGTGAAGAAAGCCATTCGCATTATGGCCCAGAATTGGAGCGTTATCCGGTTCTCTTTCTCTCTCTCTCTCTCTCTCTCTCCAGTATATATATTTTATATTATTATAAAATCCATTGACATTTGCATTATGTTTATTTATAACTTTCTAAATTTTGATCTGAGACATCTACCTTTATCTGCACCACTTGTTCCCGTCAAAAGGCTAGTCACAAATTCTAACTAAATTATGCGTCATACTATTTGATGGCTTATCTTGGTTATTGTTGCATTCAGTCTTCAAATAAAGAAAGAAGAGTTGGTGAAAGAATTCAATTTGTGCAATCCATTCGACACACATGATAAAGATGATAAATGGCGTTGACGCAATTTGAAAGATGATGTTTAGTCATAAGTAATGAACTGAGGACCTTCTTTGCTTCTATCCACAGATTGCTGAAATTTCCACGTCTGTCGTACTTGAATGGGTAGTTTCACAACAGGAAAGAATTCTAGAATTGGTTGGATATGCTTTTTGACCTTTGAGGTTTGTCTGCATTTTGTTACTGATTCATCACAATACATTATTACCAAATTCTTGTTACTTTATGTTGTATCTATTTATTTTTGGAAGGAAAGTTTTGTTTGC